CTCGTAGATGCCTTATATTCCAAATTTGAATTTTTTTTCACTCGTTCCACCATTTTTTGCTACTTGCAGTGCTTAGATTTTCCGGAGTTTTCAAATATCAAAAACTCCCATACAAATATTATTCCTCTCTTAACTCCCAAGTTTCTCAATTTCGTAATATATTTTTCACTCGTAATTTTCTTGGTACTCACCTTATACCACTTTGATTTATTTTCATATTTCCTTGTACATTTACACAATTTACGTAATAACTAGCTCATCATCATCTTCATCTAACGAAAATATTTCTATCTTTTAGAGATTTTTTAAAAGATTTGACGAAATAGCGTGTTGCCTTTCCTTCGGTAAAATGACGGGAGAATTAAAGTCATTTTATGAAAATAAAAAAGGCGGCATTCATTTTGCCTTTGATTTGACTTATTTTCTAGTAAGCATGCTACTTGTACAGTCATTTTTTATAATTTTGGTTGACAGTCATACTTTACAACTTCATATTTATCCATTTCAAAATCTGTTTTTAAAATTAACGGTCCGAATTTTGACAACGTCAATGTCGTCATCCATCATTGTCAACCACAATTGCACGAATAGACTAATCCATTTTCTAGAAGGTAATCCACACGTATTTTTATTAACATTATACATTAAGGTGATAATGTGACTTTAGAAAGAAAAAAATTATGTTAAATACGTTGCACTGATTAACCTAATACTCACATTGCACATATTATTACACATATTGAAAGAGTTTATTCTAATTAATAGAATATTTCGCATGCTATGTATTCACTCCTTAGTAAACTATAATATATTACATTTGCAACAATTATGTAAAATAAGAAGCAGAAAATATGAAATTACGAGACGTAAATGTCGATTTCACCCATGTCTTATATTTAAGAGCATGTTTGGTACAAATTTTCATTTTCTACAGTAAATCAATTCTCATTTTCAACCACACATTCTTCAATAAAATAATATTTTCCATCACATCAATACTTTTTTTTTTCTTTTTCAACCACACATTTCTCATCATATCACTATTCAAAAATCAATTCTTCCCCCAAAAATCCATACCAAACATACTCTAAAATGTGTTTGCGTTCTCGAAGACACTCCGTTCTTTTAAGATAATTCATGGCATGTCAATCTCGATAATATCTTTGTTTTGTATCAAATTAAACAACATGATCTACTGCTTATGTGAGTCTGTCAATTTTTTTGAGTTTCATTCATGCAAACGTGCTCTTTAGAGTTTCATGTTTCCATTCTTTCAATTTTTTTTACCGTTATATTATGAAGCATTTAATTGAGTCCCATTTTTGAAAATTAATTTTGTAAAAAAAAAATGATTCTTTTAGATAATGTACGGTTAAAAAAATCAATTTACTGGCAAAATTATTGTAAGGGTAGAAATTAATTTCGAAAAATAAGAACTAATTGTCCAGCTATAAATAATAGGAATAATTGTAGCAACGGTACCAAACATTTCATTAAGTAGCAGACTCTGCTCAAACATTTCATTTGTATCACCAACGATACCAAATCTTTCAAAATGTCACAACTGAAGTTCAAATAGATGGTTTCTGCTAGTTTGACCGTTAGTTAACTAAATAATTGATTTTGACAATAATTTTGACTGATTTTAAAATGTTAAAATTGTAATTTTACATTTTTAATAATTAAAATTAAAAATCAATTTCCACATTTTTTTTTTCACCCCACCCCAAATTTGCAAATCTGGGAAATCAATCGGAGAAAAAATTATGACAGTATCGTAGAGATTCGTAGACGAAAAGAGAGGCGATTATGCTGGTGAATATGCACAAAAAAACAGTTGGTTCTGGCACCAAAGGTTTGATTGGGGAGGGGAGGGGGGATTCTCTAACCATGCAGATGTTGGCGGATCTATAAAATTCATGGGTAGGGGTGGCTCCGTTGTATTATTGACAACAGGAAAAAAATTATGTGATTAATCGAGAAATCTGCAGGCGGAAGTGAAAATTTCGACTAATTTGTCGCTGAATACCCACCAAAAACAACGGGTTCAGGCACTGGAGATTCGATCATTTTTTTTTGGAGGCTCAAGAAAACTAGTAAAATTTTTGGATGTGTGTGGAGTGGATGGAGAAGAAGAGGGTGAAAATTGGTTTTTAATTTTAATTATAAAAAAATGTAAAATGACCATTTTAACCTTTTAAAATCAGTCAAATTTATTGTCAAAGTCAATTATTTGGTCAATTAACGATCAAACTCTAACAGAAACTATCCATCTGGACTTTAGCTGCCACAATTTAAAAGATTTGGTACCGTGGTTGGCACAAATGAAAAGTTTGGACAATGTCTGCTAATTAGTGAAGGATTGGCACCGCTGCTGCAATTATCCCTAAATATTTTAGTCATGCCTACAAATTTTTGCCGGAATCCAGTGTTTCGCCCTAAGAAGCTCCGCCCCTGACTTTTTCCCTCACTCATTTAAACCCTATAAAATACTAATTTCAGGTACTGCGTGTGTGTATATGTGATATATGATGCAAATTTCAACGTATGTGTTGAAAATTTCATAGATTTAGTATTGCAAAGAAGGTGTTTGCTACTTGAGTTCCTTCCAGTCAATATTGAAACCGTAGCTCTTTTCCAATTGCATCTGTAAAATTCGATGCTCCTATTCTTTGTTTTTTCGCTCTGGTGTTATGATTCCTTGGTTTATTGGAAAATGAATTATTGTTTTTATGGCTAATGTGGCTTTTCTTTGTTCGGAAAATACAGCTGGAGTATGCTCTGAAATATAAAGAATCAGTTTTTACCCTTAATTCTTTTATGTTCGTACAAGCACATTGTTTAATTTCAAGATTATGTATGATAATTTCTAATTACGACTTTCTTTGCTAATCAGGTGGTGAAGGAGTAGCAATGAGTACAGAAGAGGCTTCAAAGAAACATTCACAACCTCAATTGGTGAAATTGAACAAGGCATTCAAATTGGTAACTGGTTCGTAAACTTTCTGTAATTTGTTTGCTTTTGTTTAGATTTGTATCCACCGATACCTTCCTGCACTTGAAATGGAGGTTCTTTAATGATAGATATAGGAAATTAAAACTTGTAAACTTAATTTCTTGAAGATAGCTCATCATTATTTGCATAATCTAAAACTCTGCTACCATAGAGACTTGTATTAGACCTTGTGATACATCTATTGACATGGTGATGATTATCTTCTCGTTCAAAAGAGGAAAAATGTACATAGTCTACAATACATAGTTCTACTGGAAACTTAATAGTTATAATTTTTATTCTCTTTTATCTTATGATTGTTGTGATTGAGAATGTAAAATGTGGTTTTGCATCACAATTTTTTTCTCCTGTGATCTCAGATACTAATATTAGAAAGCTGTTTTACGTTTATGTCTTGTGCACAGGCTGAACTATGGGTTAATAACATGAGTAAATCCTCCGTGGATGGAAAATCAACAGCAATAGAATTGGAGGGTCGACCTGCTAGGTCTCTACACACAGTGTTTGAGTTTCCATTGTAGTATAACCATAACCATAACCATAACCATATATTTATTTTATTAGAGAATTTTGTAGGCTCGGAATTGGTGCGATAGTTCCACGGGGGACCAGAGTTGCTAATTCAAGTGATCCTGTCGAAAGAAAATTGCTTGCCAAGTTGGATGCTGAGAAAAGAAAAGTCGTGAAGAGAGCTGAAGAATTTGCGCCATCTTCAAAAGATGGAAATGTTGACGAAGATAGTGAAGACGAGTTGGAAAGTAAAACAAAAGCTTTTACCAAGAAGAGACCACTAAATACGACCTCACCTCTACAGCAGAAAAAGAAACATAAATAGTTAGGCGTACTGAGCGAGGAAATACCACAGGGGTTTGAAAATTTTCCTTGCAGGACTCTCATTCGCACCCCAATATTTTACCCACAGTAAATGTTGTTTCTCTAGAGTCCACTTTAGAGCAGTCGAGTGATCTTAACAGTTCAAGGGAAGTGTCAAAAATGGCTCTGGTATTGACTTACAATCCATTAAGCTATTTGACTACAACGAACTTCGCTATTCTGTTACTTTCTCTTGTTTCGAGATGGTTTTGGCTTTGGTTCTGTAATCTTCCTTCATTGTAGAAACTCCAAAATATATGCCTTACTTTGATAACTGTAAAGTGCTACTTGGATACTGATTACTGAACAAATATTGTACATTATACGAAATTATGAAATGTTATTTTCTACATTCGTTTTGTTACGAGAGTATGTTTGATAGGCGCGATTTTGAACTATACAATGAGTGAAATATGTATCGAAATTTGATACAGCGCATAAACAATGTTCCCGCAAAAGTAAAGAGTAAGCTGAGGTAAATGACAGACAATCTCTGTACACAACCACCCTAGAAAGATTTTTCTCTGCATTCTTCTATGTAATGTTTCATTTACAACTCATCCCTAGTGAAATTTCTTGACTCTCTAATTACAAACCAAACCTATGACAAAACAAGGATTGAAAACAAAAGAAAATCACAATATGAACATAAAGCACACATTAAACACACCAATCTCGAAAATTCTACACCGACGACTTGTCTTAACCTTTTTCTGGTAAGATACGGAACGCAGAAACTGATAATCTGTCTTCTTTTGAAGAGTACATTGCAGATGGCTATGTTTTGGCAATGATCCTTTATTTTTAACTTCTGCTAAGGAAACCACATGCTAGAGTCTGTACTTCAGAAATCCTAACTATATCCACGAGACTTAATGGAGAATGTCAAAGTATATCGTCTTAATCTTTAACCAAAGCTCTAAGTGCCAGAATTGAGAAATTCTATGGCTCGGATCTTTAGTATTCTCTTATTTCTTAACTGCATATTTTTCATGTAGCATTTGACTGTACCGGACATGGCAATAAACAAGATTTTTTAATATGCCTTACCAAACATGTCATGTGAAAAACAGATGAGAACTGAAGAACTTTGTGACATAGACGGTTGAGTTTACAAGTCAATATCTTCAATTTCCTCAGATTCAACTGGAAGCACAGTGAATTCATATTCTGGAGTATCATTTGCAAAACTCAACACAGTGTTCTCGACCAATTCATTGAAAATCATCTCTCCCAATTCAGTACCAATATGCTCGATATCTGATTGGAGGCACATCCATTTTTCATGTTTTGTTGTATCCCTCTTGATGAACTGATCCAGAGACTGTGGTGATGGATGCTGAAAGAGATGTGATTCGACATTTTCCCATACCTCATGAATAAGATTTATACCAGTTGGGATTGAGCGAGTATTCTGTTTAACAAATGATATCCCCGTGAAACATCCAAAATAAGTCTCACAGATGTCCTTTAGAACTTGATTGGTACAATTAAAGAGGAGTTTCTGATCATGACGAGATCGACTAGAAAACAACTCAACTTCATCAAAAAGCGAGGACTCGAGAATTTCGTTCAAAGAAAGCCAACTCAAAAGAAATTCGTCCCAGTTCAAACCTGAACCTAACAAGACTGCTTCCACATATTCAAATGCAGATTCCTCACCCTCGACAGAAATTCTTGTACAAATTCCCTGGTCACTAGAAGCAGATTGTTCTTCAAAATGGATTTGTCGTGGTTGAATTTCTTTATCGCCTGAATATCACAAATGGATGTGTTTCAGCATGATATAAAGCACAAAGAAAAGTAAGGCTTATTAAATTTTATATCAACAATCTAACCTGACTGAGATATGGTGCTTGCAGGACTAACGACATCTTCTGTGAATAATGGCTCAAGAACGGATATGGGACTCGGTTGTTCCATTTTAACAATTTCACAATCAGGATCTACTTTCCCGCTGATTGGAGTGCGCGATGGTGACACTGATGGAGAAGATGATATCTCATCTTCTTCAGATGGAGCCTGGACAAGAATAAAAAGAATACTAAACGTTCAAAGGAAATAATTAGGAAACAAAATTTAAAGATAAACAAGCTGCGGTAAAATTGTTATTACCATCCCACATAGATGGAGAGCGCCGTGTTTCTATTGTCATTATTCGATTTAGGTTCTCATTTCATAAAAATAGAAGTTTACCGTTTTCAAGCACTGGGAAGGACTTTCTTCAATGGCCATTTCTTCAATACCACCATCCTGCTCATCTCTAGCCAAATCTCCAGAAATAGTTATGAGTTTTTCCCCTTCCTCGGGACTTGATCCAGTTGATTCTTCAGTCTCCACAACTCTTGAAGATGAAATCAGAGCTGTTACCATGGTATAATCTTACAGTCGTCAGAATTTTAAGTAAAATGCCATCTGAATTATCTTTAGAAAGAATAGATGAACAGAATACCTTCAGGAATTATTACGTCGTGGATAAAAGATTCAGTTTCTTCAGAACAATCACGATCATGTTTGCTTGGAATATTGATTTCTGTATTACAAGATTGTACTTTCTCATTGGCGCTGTCAACAGCTATGGGAAGTTGACTCTCTAAGTTTGGCCCAGGCGAATTTGAATGATTGTCATGGTTTTCTTGCACAAAATGATTCATGTTGTTAGCCATGCCTCGAGGAGATAACCTCATCTGGGCAGTTATGAATAAATCATCACCGTATTTTCTAGGACTGAAGCATGGAGAATCGCTGTACTCGGCAAAAGAAAGAATCCTGCCCAGGGACTTCGGTATGCGATGGCTAGCAGACTCTGCATTTTCATCTCCATTGTTAAGCATCTCGGAGAGATGTTTCTTAGCCTCAATATAGATATTAGACACCCCTTTCCTCGGATAATTAAGAGTCCCGTCTACAATTTCTGCACCATTATCTTTTGATTTTCCCACTTGTTCATTGCTCTTAAAGCCAGTTTGGGATTTGGCAAATCTTTCAGTATAGAAATGGTTCCTATTTGGAGAACTCCACCCAACATTTTCTCCACCAGAAACTTTGCCACTATAGTTCCCATTTTGAGACTTAGAAGGAAATTCAAGGACCAATCCATCAGGAGCAATCCCAGGCTTCTCCTTTCCCATGGCATGCCTCAGCTTTCTTTTAATTTCATTAAAAGAGAACTGAGAAGTATTCCTTTCATTCTGTACCTTATTATCCATGGCATAAGGCGACTGCAAAGAAGTGCTGCTAATACTGATGTCAGCACGTGAGCTCTGTGACCCTGTTGGTCCTGGCTTCAAGATGACAATTTTACTTGAAGATTGACAATTTTTATTTCCTCCGGTGGGGTAGCTTTCAAGAGATTTGCTCTTTCTGTGGAAGAATTTACGGTGTTTACGATCTGAAAGATCATCAGGTTTCGAGTTGATTAGCTTCTCCTTAGACAAACCAGATCCCATCAAAGAACCCTGTTTCTGGTCTTCGTCTAATTGAGCATCATCCAAGTTTTGCATCTGCTTCACTAGTACAGAATTAGGATCTTGTAGTAGTTTCAAGAACAAGTCCTTATTTGAACTTAAAGTTTGCAGAGCATCCATGAACTCTTTTGAACAATTGGTTTTCACCTCTTCCCCAAAATGCTTACTGCTACTTAACCTTTGATCTTTAAATACCTTTATTGCTGCAACTAATTTTTCTTCAACAACTGAGAGATCTCGACCACACGGCATGTCAAGATCGTCGCGAGTATCCCGCTTCATGAAGCTTGAAAATTTCTGATAAGTCTGGGATAATTCTTCCATTATTTCCTGATCAAGAGTATCTGAAGGTTTTTGCTCAGGAACTTTATCGGGCATCAAAGATTCTGCAGCATCTGACTTGGGGACGTTCATATCACTAAATGACTTGTGAGTTCTGCTTATTCGCTTATGATTCTTTTTTATAGGGTGTCCATGTTCTGAATCAACTTGCTTCAAACAAATTTCAGACTCATTTGCCACATTCTCCAAGCTTTGCTCAGTGAGCATCTCTTCTTCCATGAGTTCCTTTACACTTGTCTTGGCAACATCCACAGCCACTCTACTTTCTTTACCATCCTGAAATTCAACATTAAATTAATCAAACAAGCAGACAAATCATAGGTCATAGTCGAAAAGCAGCCAAGACTTACCGATCCAGTTGGACCAGGTACAATTGTTTTGGTACTTGAATTCCCGGCACCTACCGAAGAGCACAAGGGAAGAGGGAGAATGATTAGGCTAAGAACAAGTAGGTAGCAGCAATAGCAAATATCTTGAATCTGTAAAAACTGACTCTGTAAGTAGGAATATGAATTCTCATTGTTGAATGAGCTCATTAAAAGCTTGAGCAGTTATAGAGAGCACAAATTTTTCTATAAATTTTCTCTTCAACATTCCCTCACGTGCAAATCAGATTCATTTGGCCTCATGCATACACAATTTTGATAAAAGGGTGGCAGCAAGACTCGAACCCTATATCTTTGTTGGTCTTATAATACATAAGACTGGTATCACAGAACCAGCAAAGATATAGGGTTACAAGTATAGCTGCCACTCGTTTTATGATAATTGTGCATATGTCAGGCATGAAAAAAAAGTTGAATTCACCCTGCAAAGACTTTAGATAAGGTAGCTCAACACCCCTAATGTTACTTCTACATAGAGTTCTTACCAACAGGTTGTCTGCTTTCTCGCCTTCTATCGGCAATCAATTTTCGGTTGGATCGACCACGGCGGAAGTCCAATATGCTAATAAAACTCCATATACAACCTGCTTGCTCCCTTTCATGCCGTGACAGCCTTCTCTGTGATCTCTTGGCCATAAGGAGAGATTTGAGGGCCTTCAATCTTTCAACTTCAGTTAAGTTTCCTTTCTCTTACTGCAAATCTAAGCACCAGAAAGAAAGAAAAGGGAAATTAATGACATCTAATAGAAAAGCTAGGTATACCAAGCCAATATCCACCTTTATGAGCACCAGGTCACGAAAGAATCTCCAAATTAGAAATTATGAACATACATATGATTTGATCAGCTAATAAATTGCACATCAGATCTTTCACTTTATGAATAACATAATCGTTGGCTAATATAAGTAAATTTATTTTGTTAACCTACATAAATTTCCTGGGCGATTAAGTGATAATGGTGATGCATTTAAAAAGAAACTATTTTGTTGGTGAATTTATTTTGTAATATACATAGAATTCTTGAGCATCTAATCTGATGATCACCGTGCATTTGACAAAACTCAACAAGGGCGTCGGATATTCTAATTTATATATGCCACATTAGATCCGGTGCATCCTTCTTGGCCCTCTCGTGGTAGGAAAATGCTCTCTAAGTGCTCTATCACCCACAAAACAATTTCTTACAATCACTATAAAACGCCAGTGCTGATGCTCACAGCAATAAAAAAAAATGTCTCTTTCCTTGAATGCACTAATCTTTATGCAATTTAATTACGACAATTCTTGACTGGAGAATAATAAGGGACGAGAGGGAGATGATACTCTAAAGAAACACAAAAGTTCAGTAGATACAAAACAAAAAACTAAGACTTCTTCCCAACAAATTCGGGGTCGGCTAAATCAGTCTTTTCACTCATCACAGGAAGATTTCACAAATTCAGTACAAAACATGCGAAACAAATGAATGATTATTAAAAAAAAAAATCACATTTGCAGAAGAGAGGGATTACCTGAAACTTGATCCACCATGTAGCCAGACACAGATTACACAAGCTATCTAAGACAGTAAAGCTCAAGGAACCTTTGCCTTCTCTGTCTGGGAAAGAATCAAGATTTTGCCTACTAACTTTTTTTATAAAATTGCTTTTAGCATTCCAATATGACCTTCCCTTCAAATGTAACAATTACCAGAATTTCCACACTAAAAAAAAAAGTCCGAAAGCTTCCTCAGAAGACTTGATCAAAATCCTCAAGGTCTTCCAATCTTGCCTTCAAGGACAATAAGATCATATCACACAACTCTTTACACAATCAAGCTTAGAATTCAGTTCATAATAGTTATTTTGATGAAAATTCAATTTTTTCACAGCAATGATTTTTCATCAAATTCTGTCAAACCCAAATGAAAAACTCTGTGAACTCATTGAACACCAAGAAATGAACAAATTCAAGAGGCACCGACAAATTATTTTGTCAAAAATTGACCTTTCTTTACATTAAGAAATAAGAGCACTAAAAAATTCAACCTGGACAGGTATTTACAGCCATTCAACACACAAAAGGGTGAAAACTGGAGCTTTATTTTTGGGTGGAAGAGTATCTGATTCCATGCCGACCAAAAAGAGAGACCTCAGAGATGAAAAAAAAAATAAAAACAAAAGGGGCTTATTAAAATGAAGGAAAATTAGGTGTGGGGGCAGCCATTAAAGACTGTAATACAGAATACAAATATAAAAGAAAGGAAAGGTTGTAAAGTGAAAAAAATGCGTCAGTATGTGTGTGTGTGTGAGACAGAGAGAGAGAGAGAGAGAGAGAGAGAGAGAGTTTTGGAAGAGGGAGAAGAATAGTATCTGTGCCACCTGTTTATGCAAACGTGGGGAGAGAGGGAAAAAGCTTCCAAGTGAAGAAAATTGTAGAGGTTTTTTTTCCATTTTTTCTTTGCAGCAGCCTCATCAATATTCCCACTGCCAATTTGTCCAATTCGTAAATTTCGACTCAAGTCTAAAAATTCAAGTTGGATCCTATAATTCTCCCCCCACCCCCCTCGCCCCCCAACCCGACCCCCCACACACACGAGGACATAGTCTATTTAGGAGAGAGTGCACAGTCCAGACGGAGACGTATGAACATTTAAATGCACAGCCGTATGAACATGAATGATGCAAAGATTTCACTATGCTTTGGTTGTACAACAGACACCTTTTTTGAGGTTGTAATGAAAGAATAAGGGCATGTTTGGTACAGCTTAAAATTCAATTAAAATTGAAAATATAGCCGTTATTGGGTCCCACTCGGATAATAAAAGTCTACAATAAAGGCTAATTTTTCAATTTTAATCCGATTTTAATCTCTACCGAACACGCCCTCAATATCAAAATTACTGACAGTTATTTTAGTTTCTATGAAAAAATATTTAGTTGAATTTGTGTATATCTAAAAAAAAAAAAGGAGAAATTTATTAAGGTTTTAGTTTATTAATGAAAACACCGTTAATTGATTGAAACCAACATATATTTCATAAGAATTTGAGCGAAGAAACTTTCAGAGTATGTCCGATCAGCTTAAAAGTACTGCACAATGTGTATACGATTTTGTAAAATGAAAAATGATTCAATTTAAGAAGGGTAAAACATGTTATCAAATGTAAGTGTTTTAAAGGGAATTAATTTGATGTGAAAAATAAAATTGAAAAATAAAAATTTGTCCTCCTAAAACAAAAGTATAATAACTATCTAAGTAGGAAAGATAAAATTTATTACCGACCATAGTTAAGAGAGAAAAATAAATAACATCGAACATGGAATCTCACTATTTTAATACCACTCATTGACAAGGATAAATGAAAAATAATTTTCGAGAAGCCAATTGTAATCAAATTATGAAACGACCCTCTATCACAAAATGTCGTATAATATGTTTTTATATGTCAACAATTATATTTCGAAACTCTCTTTCGTTCTTTTATTTTTCAAAAGAATTTGTCGTCGTCTTTTTTTGCAGATGCTAGCGATGTTCTTGGACCATTGTCGTCTATAACAAAAATCACAAAGCTAACACAAGAAAATAAAAAAAATAAAAAAACAAATTCATTGATATAAGACTACAAATTTTATCATCTTTCTTCTGAAACTTTTATGTTTTTGTGTACAGACATTGTAATAATCAAAAAGAACAAGAAAAGGGCGTATAAATGCATGTATTTCAAAACAAAATGTTGTAAGAAGATATTTTTTATTTACCAACAACTGTCAGCATTTTTTTCAGCTACAGAGTTGGATCCAATGCTGCCAGCATTGATATATTTACAACTTTTCTTACCTATTATATGTTCACAATCACTAATTTCCTCAACACTAAAAGTTACCATGAGTATCTTTTGGACATGTATATAATTAAATACGAAGAAGGGAATGTGTGAACAAAATTTGTCTATATTTGTTTTTAATTATGTCTAAGTTAATATAATAAAATATTTTATTGTCCATATTGATACAAATTTTCCTCACCGTAAGGTGTATAAAAATAAGTTGTTACTTTTCATAATAGTGATGATCGATTTCTGCCTCTTACAAGGTATGAAATTGGACTATTTGTGAGCATAGAGGTGTCAATGGACCAAACCGACCCATTGACCCACGAGCTCGGCTTTTATGATAAAAAAAACTAAAAAAAGGTGCAGCTGCCTGTTTAAAACAAGAAAGTCCGTTACATAGTCCGTTATATTGAGACATATTTTTGGCATAGAAAGTGATCGAATTGGAGAATAATGTCTGAATCAAAGTTATAGCCAAATTAGTTAACTTTCCAACGCATTTTGAATCGCCTCAATCGGACATCGGAATACAAAGTTATGATAAGAACACTGAAAGAAGGTGCAACTGCCTGTTTAAAACAAGAAATTCCGTTAGTTTTTCCATTAAACCAAGAAATTCCGTTAGTTTTTCCGTTAAACCAACAAATTCCGTTAGATAGGCACTTTTTATATAGAAAGAAATACGAAGAAGGGAATGTGTGAACAAAATTTGTCTATATTTGTTTTTAATTATGTCTAAGTTAATATAATAAAATATTTTATTGTCCATATTGATACAAATTTTTCCTCACCGTAAGGTGTATAAAAATAAGTTGTTACTTTTCATAATAGTGATGACCGATTCCTGCCTCTTACAAGGTATGAAATTGGACTCTTTGTGGGCATAGAGGTGTCAATGGACCAAACCGACCCATTGACCCACGAACTCGGCTAGTGCTCGTCACGAGCCGAGCTCGTGGCTCATTTGTGACGAGCTGATCACAAACGAGCCACGAGCTGAGCTCGTTACAATACGTCAATACCCGAGCTCATGGCTCGGGTAAATTTATATATATATATTAATAAGATATGCCTTTTTTTAAAAAAATGAATTTTTGGTCCCATTGACCCACGAGCTCGGCTAGTGCTCGTCACGAGCCGAGCTCGTGGCTCATTTGTGACGAGCTGAGCACAAACGAGCCACGAGCTGAGCTCGTTACAATACGTCAATACCCGAGCTCATGGCTCGGGTAAATTTTTTTATATATATATATATATATTAATAAGATATCCCTTTTTTTAAAAAAAAAAAATGAATTTTTGGACGAGCCCACGAACCACTCGTGAAAAAACAGCTCGGCTCCTCTAGCGAGCCCGCCGCTTGGCTCGTGCTCGGGCTCGTCAAAAGCGGCTCGTAGCTCGTTGGCAACGAGCTGAGCCGAGCCGACGACCCGGTTCGACTCGATTGCCATCACTATGTGGGCACCAGTATAACAGTTTTTGTACCATAATCTGTTAAGACACATTCCACGATTTACCTCCTACACGATGCTCCGGGGCGTGGTGGTGAGGGAGTCCTCAAGGTTGAGGTTCAACCTTTAATAAACATATTTAGTCGTGTGAATTAGTGTTATGATATTGTAAAGTTTTCCGTAACTCATATATACGAACAACTATAAAAAATAAAACAAAAAAAATTAATATTCAATATAATGACAAAAAAATTTCATATGACGGCCATTATGACCATTATTGTAACTTTACGATATTTATGTACACCTTGGACTTTTCAAAATAGTCTAAATTCATGAATTGGCTTGCATTCAAATCTTACGATGGTAC